CATGGGCTTCATGTAATTCTATTCTAAACTTCTGCCAAGGGCCAGGGAAAGCCAAAAGGAAGTTGTCAGCCAGCTTTTGCTTGAAGCACAAGAAGGAACATGTACTACACACTCCATCCATTCTCACCTCTAGCTGAAGGGGGTATCTCCCCACTGGTCTGAAACAAAGCCCAGCTTGGTCCTGATAGACCTACCACGTCTAAAACATAAAAAGGTAAGCAACAGCTGTCTGCTCTGCATGAGCTTATTTGATCAAGTACAGTACAAAAGGATGAAGCATGTTGGGCCTGGCACTGTGCTAGAGCTACTCAGTCCTCTCCAAATCCAGAGAACAGAAAATCATGGTGCATACACCATGGAACCCACACACAAGAGCTCTCTGCAAGGTCTCTACAAGGCTGCCTCTACAAAGAATTTTTTTCCAGTGCTGTCTGCATCCTGCACTGGTCTTTTACACAGTCTTTTATACATATAATCATCTATAATCACTGTCCTAGCAACAGAAAAAACTGACATATCCTTAGCCACAAGGTAATACAAACCTGTGAAAGCACTAGCACACCTCCCTGCCCTCGAATAGACCAAACCTAGTATCTTCTCTCTAGTGACACCACAAGGATTGATCGACATGTACATAAGTAAAAGCACACATTACAGTGGACGTGAGTCACCTGTGGGTGGCAAAATTTAACGGATATAGAATCCCCTGCGTCCCAGTAACCCAAAGTAGCAAGGCAAAGGCACTGTCACAGCAGGCAGGTAAGACTGTATCTTAAGGAAGATACCCCTTCATAAGGAAGGGTTTTTTTCCCTCAAGGAAAGTAAATAATGATATGTAAGATGGAAACAGAGAAAATGGGTATCTAAATTAAGCAAACACAGAAATAGCAGCACTAATATGATACACGCTGTACTACTGAATTACATGCCACCGAATCATGTGCCCTTTGTTTAGAAATAAGCATGGCTTGATGCCAGCTGATCCCCCAGTTGAATTATATGACAGTTGACTTCCCGTAAGACCTTCACAGCTACTCTCAGTTTCCTCCTGCACAGTTTGACCTGCAAATGTAATAAAAATACTGTCTTGATCTTCACCAAAATCACTAATTAAAACTTCAAGTAGTTCTGAAAGTTCTGAACTTCAACTGACAGCTGGTGGATACTCCCCTCCAGCTGACCGGGTAACATTTCTGACAATTCCAAGAACAGTTTTCAACCTGCTCTGCAGCCACACAGCAAATTCATCATCGACAGTCTTAAATTTTGCACACAAAAAGGTCTAAACCCGTCAAAGTATTCTGCACACTGAAAACAATTTTGGTAAGAACCTATCTTGTCACACCAACAATTTCACATCAGTTTTCACTCACTACGTTGTGAACATACTTACAAGCTACAGCTTGTTCCTCTTACTTTTCCAGCACCTATCAGTTAATCTGATTCATGGAGGGATTTTTTACTTTTGAGGTCACTAAAACCTCATGATTTAGCTAGGTCAATTTATTGTTATACTTCTTAGCCTTCATCCACATTAGGGCAATTTTTATTTGTGCCTTTAAAAGTTGGAGGAGGTACAGGTATGAACTGTGCTGTATAGCTTTTCAGTTATTCTTCTTAGCCATTCACAGGATCTCTTCTATTGGTTTCCCAGATTAATTGAGGCCTGTTTTCCTGAAGCTGTTTTAATTCTGTTTATTTTCCTCCCTCCTTAATGAGTATTACATCTCACATCTCAACAGTCAAGTGTGTTTGATTGTAACAGTGAGCTCCACCAATAAGTATAACACAGAACAAATCAACAGAATAAAAAGCAAACTTTCATGAAAAAGTTTCACCATCAATTTCTTCTTTGTGTGGAGAAGTCTTTCTTACTTCTTTGAGAGTTCCTTCATTCTGCTGATGCTGAGGAGCTAGGTTTTTTTTGATCATCCAGAGCCACAGGCAGCACAGTGTTAAATATACATCAGTAAATTAAACAGAAAACGGGACTTTCAAAAGTAGTATATTCACCCAGAATTCTAGTAGTAGTATTTTTGATACACACTATCCTGTCCTCTAAATAAAAAGAACAATAAGGAAGAATTAACTAACCGTGAATGAATACATTTGTGGAAAATGTGGTAATTTTTTGAGTATCTCAAATTTCCATTTATAAATCTAAACTATAAGAATCCTTACCTTATTTTCATTCCAAAGACAGAAGCACTGGAGGAGTGAATAAACATTAGCCATTTGCTAGGGTTTGTATTTTACTTTTTCTTACTCTGCTTTTTAATATTTTTTAAATACATTATTTTTCCCAGATAATATGCATTTGACTGACAGATGAATTGAAAAGCTTTATAGCAAACTATTAGAAGGCAAAGAAAAATTGAGGCAAATGTGGTTAGGAAGTATTAGCGACTCTAACTTTGTCCAGGACAAAGTTCTAGCTCTCCCATTTGTTTCAAGGTATCTTGTATTATCTTACTCTATCTAACAGCTCATCCTACTCATTCCCACTTCTATGCCAGTTCTAGCTTGCAATTTCATCAAATTATTTTAATCCATTGCTCTATTAAAGTTTTCTACAGAAGGATCAAAGAAATAATAGTGAAAAGTTAGCAGCAGTGAGAAAAACAATAGAGGGAAGAGATCTCTCCCTTATGGTGGCAGTAAAACATTGCATCAGTACAAGCTGGTGGTACATAATCTTCATCAGGCCAAGGCAAAGACAAATGGGAGAATGAGAGGAAAATCCAATAACAGAGGAGTACCGATAATACCATTGACCTGCATTGTATCATCTGTATCACTAAAATAAAGTTAATGTGCAAAAGCCTTAAGATTTACAGCAGTGCGGGTCTCACAGACTTCAGCCATAGTTGTAGTTGCAGAGGATTTAACAACCAGCCCTCTCAAAGCAAAATCAGTGCAACTTCACCTCCTACAGTTCACCTTAGCAAAAACCGGGAAACATAAAGGCTACTACGATGTCTGCTTTTAGATACAACTACTGCAATTGGTTACTAATTTTAAAAGCCTGTTAATCTCCTGGTGAGTTCAATGTCCCACCTCCCCTGCCCTCTTACTGACACTACAACTACCGCGTACTTAAGTCCTAAATACAGAGAGATCAGCCTTAAAGTTTCAAGAGAGAGCTTCCACTGTAAAAGGCATGGCAGCATAAATTCAGCTATCAAGAAAAAGTCTACCACTATTTCTGCTAAAACAAGGCATTTTTATTGGTAATTAAGGACTGGAACTGCAGTAATCACACACGAGAAATCTGACTGTAGTTGTTACTGCTTCTTGTACGCTAAAAGACAAGAACTTTTATATGCCCCTCAGAGTCACCATGAACCCCAACAGAGAGAAGACCAACAGCTGAAAGTAAGACACAGAAAGCCTGTAAGTGTTACACTGTTGTATTCTGCAGAGGGACTTTTTATAGAGGCATGTAGTGACAGGACAAGGCGGAATGGCTTTAAACTGGGAGAGGATAGATTTAGATTACATATTCAGAAGAAATAATTTTTCTGAGGGCGCTGAGGCACTGGTACAGGTTGCCCAGAGAAGCCGTGGCTGCCCCATCCCTGGCAGTGTTCAAGGCCAGGCTGGACGGGGCTTTGAGCAACCTGGTCTAGTGAAAGGTGTCCCTGCCCACGGCAGAGGGTTGCAACTGGATGAGCTTCAGGGTCCCTTCCAACACAAAGTATTCTACGAGTCTATGATTAACCCAGAGGAAAAACACACTGCTGACATAAAGGGTTTTCACATGTTCTTCTCAGATGGCTATTTCAGCAGACCTGCTCTAAGTCACTGTCAGTTGTTCATGAAGTTTCACAGAAAAACTGGTCAGCAGAACTGCTCTGAAGGGAAGGTTTGCGCCCCTTCCTTCCCTCCCTTCCCTTTAGGAAGTGTAGTGACTTAAGTCTCAGACTTTCTGCACAAGAATACAATTGTGCTCTAGTTGCTGGAGCCATATAAAACATGGAGAACAGCAAACAGATAAACAAATCTGTGCAGGGAGAGGAAACAGGACTATGAAATATTAAAGCATGGGCACTGAGACATCCTCAGGGAAACCGCCTTCACTAAATTACACATAGCTATGCAGTGGAAGCATAGTATCTTCAGAGAATGATGTGAGGACATGCTATGAGAGCACCCAGGCTCCTGGAACACATGCAGAAACATAAAAAACTATTTCTCCTTGGAATGCAGTGAACATACACACAGGAGTTAATAAAAACATATGCAGAAGTGCTCTGAATCATCAAGGCAGGGGGGTTGGAACTAGATGATCTTAAGGTCCTTTCCAACCCTAACTATTCTATGATTCTACGATTCTAAGATGAGTCAATCTGTTTATTGCTGCCTACCTACCTACTACAGGGTGATGGCTATGCTCCAAAATTTCTCAATAACTTGCTTTAGGCTTCTTCTTGCCTTAGAGCATCAGCCCACTGATCCCGAACACTTATCCAGAAGCGAGCCGCACGGGATGGGCCTACCGCCGGTCCCCTTCCCTCGTTCCCTCACTTACAGGAGACCTACCCAACTGCAAACGGCAGCGGCACGGCTACCGACCGCGAAGCACGGCGGTCCGCCGGCAGATCGGAGGGTCTCCGCGCAACCCTAACCCCAGCCACCAGCAGCCACCACCATCACAGGCCCGGCGGTCCCCGACCGCGGTCCTCCCGCCTCCCGGCCCCCACGCGTACCTGGGCGAGTCTCGTGCTTAGGCACCCGGTAGTACTTGTTGCCGAACTGGTCGGTGCCCACCAGCTCCTTGTCGGGCCCGAAGAGCCGCAGGCGCAGTGCGCGCAGCGCTTGCCAAGACCAGCTCATCCCGCCGGAGCAGGGCTTACCGCGCGGCACGCAAGGTCGCCGCCACAACCGACTACCCGCCGCTGCCTCTCAAGCCCCGCCCCCGACGGGTCGCGTCACACGCGCGCGCCGTCCCGTGCCCTGACCTGCCCGGTCGAGCACACAGCCTGACTCCGCCCATCTGTAGCAGACATGCCAGCAACACCGCTCACCATTGGTGGAGGTCGGCCACCCCTGGCCCAAAATGGCTGAGCAGAGAGGAGTGGCTTCACGGTTCCGCCATGTTGGGGTTAATTTGGGCTCGTCAGGCCGGGCTCGACGATCCATTGCGGCTGCGCCGGGCCGAGGCTACCCGGAGGTAGCGGGGACCGGTGGGGAGCTAGGGGTGGGTGGGGCTGCGTGCGCGAGGAGGCCCCGGAGGCGGTGGCAGCGGCAGCTCCGGGCGCTGTCTCTTCGGAAGCCGTCCCCGACCCAAGCTGTGCTAGGCAGGCCTGAGAAGGGGCTCTCTCCGAGAGCGGAGCTTTGCCCTGCCCCGCCCCGCCCCGCTGAGTGCCCCGAGCAAGGGGAGCCGGCAGCCTCCGCAGGCCTCAGCAAAGGCTGCCCTATGTCCGCGGTGCCTTTTCTCGGAGCGTTCCGCGGGGTTTTCAGCTGTGGGGGTCAGCAGCCGTGGGGTGGTCTGAGTAGGGGCAGGGCAAGGAGCTATACCCTCGTCTGTTGCTACCGTAACAGTTTCGCCAGGAGTTTTAATGTGTGTGTAGCTATGCTTTGCTTTGTGAAAAACAAGGTGGATGTGATGCTTGTGCCCCTACAGTTTGTCTTTCCTCTTCCCAAACTTGGCATGTTGGCAGGTTGCAGAAGGGTTTTTTTTCTAGGTTCCCAGGAGCTTTTGTGGAAAGTGGTGATTGCATGGAGACGCTTACTAATATTCCTGCTAAAGATTATAATGTGGTAATTGTTCATTATCAGAGAATCAGTTTTGTACCTGTATTTCGAGATAAAGCAAGTCTCAGTTCAGTCACTCACACAGCTCCAGCAGCAGGAAGGATTTGTGTTGCTCATTTGCAGCTTTTGGGGCTTTGTCATTGTAAAAAGGTTCTAAAAAATTGAGATTACCTTTGGCGATTCAGAAAACTTATTTCTATGTGCATTTTGGCAACACGATTTTACTTCATTTCTGTGCTCTAAGCACTCATAGCGTTCATTGTTAAGAAAAGAAGCATAGTGGGAAGGTTTTATATTATCTAGACAGCTGTCTACCTAACATTCCCCATCCTAAGCGTTTTAATTTTGACTTTAAAAAGAATTTGTAGTCTTCAGTAGATTGTATTTATAACTTAATTTTAAAGTAATTTGTTTTAAAACATTTCCTTTGGGGGATTTATTGCTTCATTAAAATTCAGTCTTGACCTCAAAAGCTTTAAACTAGGTATCTTGTATACGTCAAAATTCTTGTTCTAGGTGAATTCTTGCATACTTACATTTAACTTATTTTGAAGGAGTTTAAATGACTCACTGCTTTTGAAGCATGCCTTCAGACTTGCTATTGGGGGTCTGCCTGTAACAGCCTATGTTTCTTGCATCATGATTTTTGCAGCTGAAGCAAAGTAAGGGCACTTGGCTTTACAGCTTCTCAATTATCTACTTGGTTACACTTTTGTTGATAGCAGTTTTTACAAAATAGTGCTGTGGGAAGCTCTGGTCATCTTGTAAGGCTAATATTGTATCAGGTAGCATGGCTAAAGGAAGCAGAATCTGTTTCTTTTTTGATTATATAATATTAGCATATTTATAGATGCAGGCTACTACTAAGTAGTGCAAGATCCTAATTGCAGTTTGCCTCGGGAACTTCGTGTGGATCGTGTATTTTTTATTTAATGTTACAGAAAACATACAAACATTGTTTCCTTAAAGGAAATACTGTAATTTGTTCAGCTGAGTGAATCTGTCCTCCACTAGGTGTCTGTAGTTCCAAGGAATGAATTTGTCCTCCACTAGATGTCCGTAGTTCCAAGTAGGCAGAAGCTTGGAAGGATGGTACATCCGGAAGCTTCGAACTAATATTTGTTACATCTAAAACAACTGCTACTTAATGCTGCTTTTGCTCACTGTTTGCAAATTACGTCCGTTTTTTTGTTTTATATCTTGATCCCCAGATGCAGTTTTACTATTTCTTTGAGCCGATTCTACGTTTTTCTCTCTTACCTTCAACAAAGTATATATATTTTTTTTTTCCTTACAAGTTCACAGGACTTAATTCCAGCCCTGTATTGCATCTGTTGTCTAGTTTTGGAAAAAATAACAGGGATGGGTTAAGTGCATTGAGGAAGTAGGAAACTGTGGTTTAAACTGTTCAGAGCACATAGGAACATTTTGAAATTCTGTGCTAGTCTTGTTCATGCTTCTTCATAGTTCTGTTTTGGGATTTTTATTGGGTTTTGTTTTGTTTTGTTTTAAGGGTTCTAAGTTTGGAATTAAATAAAGATAGAGATGTGGAAAGAATACATGGGAGTGGTATCAACACCCTTGATATTGAGCCTGTTGAGGGAAGATAGTAAGTATATATTTTAGTTGGTAAAAATGTATATGAGTACTTCACTGTGTTGGTACTATGGATTTATTTTCTTGTTGAACACTCAATCATATTGAATATATTGAGTGTTGTAGCTTATGTGCTTTGTTAACTCTTTCAGCATGTTATCTGGTGGGTCAGATGGTGTTATTGTGCTTTACGACCTTGAAAACTTGACCAGAGAAAAAAGTTACACATGTAAAGCACTTTGTTCTGTGGGAAGGTAAGTACTCAAAAGTTCTATTAGAATTTTGCAGTGTAACATCTGTTGTGTGACAAATTAATGTGTGTTCTTATTTCTAGGATAAAAGACTAGAAAGATATTTCTAGGATAAAAGACTAGTAGAAAATAGTGCCAGAAATTGTGAAGGCTAGCAGGATGCATTGTGTGTTTTGGCATGCAAAAAGAAGGCAAAACTTTGTATGGATTTATGTGATTTACTAAGTAGCAGGAATAATTGTTTTTTCTTTATTTGCCTGACAGTTGCAATATCCGTACAATGACTGCGTCTTGTAGAAATATTCTTTGCATCCCCCAAGAATATATGGCACGTGTCTCTTTGAATAAATACATGTTTAAGCAAAAGGAAAATTTTATTTTCATAATCTTGTTCATCTGGTAGGAAAAAAAATCTAATACAGATTTGTAGTTGTTTTATTTCCCATCTGCCTGCTCCAGCTTTACTAATAGCTATTTTAGGTTCACCAGATGCAAAGACAATTAATACAGGACTTCTTAAGAACATGTTTGACAAAGACATGTTTGATGTGAGTGATGAGGCACTGGAACAGGCTGCCCAGGGAAGTTGTGAATGCTGCATCCCTGGTAGTGTTCAAGGCCAGATTGGACAAAGCCTTGGGTGACATGGTTTAGTGTGAGATGTCCCTGCCCATGGCAGGGGGTTGGAACTAGATGATCTTAAGGTCCTTTCCAACCCTAACTATTCTATGATTCCATGAAAGACAGATGCATTACTGACAAAAATGAGACATTTCTGAAGAACAGGGTACTACCGTACTTTATGTAATCTATACAAAGACTCAAACCTTTATTGACTTGTCTGGGTTTCACTGCAGGCAGTATAGCTTTCTCTGTTGTGATCATTAAGTCTTCTAGGAAAAGCTTTTTTCCTTGTTTTTAGATAGCAAAGTTATCTAGTGGGTGAGGGCTTTATCTGAGATTCACTAAATATGTCCTACTGTGCAAAAGATTAGTAGCTACGTTTTCCCTTATTTTTTTGTAGTCTTCAAATTACTTGTGGTCTAAGAGCTTTATGCGTAAGACTGACAAGAGTAGAACAGATTTGTAAAAGTAAAAGGCCTAAATGATATCTCGGGCGGTAAGAACGAGAAAGGGTACTAGAACATGCATCAAAACCAGTGAATAGGAACAGAATTTACTGCAAGTCAGCTGCATTTGGTAAGAGTTCAATGGCTGGGATTTCTTGAACAAAATTAATTAAAACTGTAATTAAGAACAAGTAATAACTATACATACCCAAATCTCAAAATAGAGATGAATTCTGAAACAGATACAGCAAACTGAAGAAATACATGGTGAGAAGACAGCATGGAAACTGGCAAATCCATGCTAAAATGACACTATCATTAACTTCAGTTGGGTCAGTAGAAATATTCCTTACTTGAAAATTCTATTTATGAGCACAGTTGGTAGTCTGTTTCTTTTGTAAGTATTAAGATGCATCTAGACAAGTTTGTTCCTTATCAATTGAGTAGAGGCATAAATCACACTAGTAGAATCTGATTCTGTGTGACACAGTAATGATAGGCTTATTTTGCTATCATTTGTGCATAAAGTGACTATAGTAGGTTTTTTTAACCTCAATTATTTGTTTTCAGTTTTCATGTAGCTTTCTAGTACATTTTAAATACTTAGTGTAGCTAATTAGCTACAGATACAGCTTCAGATATTGGAATATTATTTGTACAGAGTTCCTGACATTTTAAATGAATTTGTAGTTGCCAATAAGAAATGCTTCCCATCTGACTGTCTGGCTCCTATCTTTGAAGCATATGATAATGTCATGTTACTAAAGTTAACCCGTATTCCAAGTTTACAATATCACAATGCAACTGTGGTCCCAAAGTTCCTTACAGGAAAAGTAGAGGCCCTTTGAAGCTCTTTATGTATAGACCTTGAACTGGGCCTGCTGAGTTTAGTGCATCCTGATGTCCAGCTGTGATTTAGCCAGAGTTTCTCTCTAGAATGTAGGGCCACTATTGCAAAACCAAGACCTTTCCTTGTTCCACTTGGAGTCAGCACACAGAGCTTTACATGTTTTTATCGGATCCATGGTGTTCTGTGACAAGAAGTGACATTTGAGAGTAACTGAACAGTACTAGCTTCTAAGTAATACACAGCTGATGCTTGTCTGTAAGGTAGTCTCTTCTAGTGAAAAGCCTTCAAAGAGGAATGAATGGCAGTGACCTTACTATCCATAGAATTAATTATGTACTTTGGTAGAAAAGTTTGGGATATTCTGTGTAATGGGAGAAAATGGGTATAAAATGCAGCCCTGAGAGATGAAGTTGGGTCGAGTGACATGTAGCTGTTACTAAGCCTAGCCAGATCAAAGACTATTCCTGCAGAGCTTCTCAAGAATATTTTAGTTCATTCCTAAACCCTCTGGATTATGGAAGAAATAATTGCTTTCACTTAGTGCTGGGCACAGTCCAGTGTTGTGCACCTGTACTCTTAATACCAGGATAATTAGTTCCATGAGTTTAGGGTTGTTTTTTTTTTTTAATTCTTCTGCATAGTGCGTACAAAAGCCTCTGCAAGAGTAAGTTTGCTCTGAGTCAGGAGTGATTTCCTGGTGCTGCAGGTCACGAAGATTTTTACCTTGGTCCACCTGTAGCATAAGTGCCTAAGATCTGTTCATTTTTGGCACTATGACAAAGTAACAGGCTGCTGTCAGGTATGCCTCAGATAAGTGATGCGGGAGTTACTAAGGAGAGCTCAACAGTTGCTCAATAGTTCCCACTTGATGTCTTCAGTGCTGGCTTATGGCAAACTATTTAAAGATATCTTCTGTGCTTTCTAGCAACCCAAGTGAGCAGGAAAGTTTAGTAGCTTAGGTGTAGTGCCAGATCTGTACAGAAGATCTGCATCTGTGTTTACACAGTGGTAGCCCTGCAATAGTTATTACTTTGGAGACCAGGACACCTGAGAGAGCAATGCAAAGATAGCTGAGGTGAAGAAATCTGAGCCCTTCTGAGCTGTAGATGGAGCCAGCTATTTTCACAAGTGTATTGCATCTGGCTGGAATGGAGTTCAGTTTCATCATACTAGCTTGTGTGGTGCTGTGGTTTGGATTTGTGACTGATCTTGCTAACATGCTGTTTTAGCTATTGCTGAACAGTGCTTGTGCAGTGTCACACAGAGTCTGTTCCTCACTGTGCTCCCTTAGCAAGCAGGGTAGGAGTGGACAAAAGGCTAGGAGGGAATACAGCTGACCTGAATTGATCAAAGGGATATTGATGTTCGATACCATGCAACGTAATGTGCAGCAACAAAATTGAGGGGGGGGGGGGAAGTTTTTAAGGGGCTGTCTTTTCTCAGGTTCTGGGTCTTAAGGGAGGGATTGCTTTTGCACTGCTTGCCCTTATTTTATTTTTTTTTTAATTTATTGTTTTGTTTACTTTTACATATTAAAATGTCTGTATCTCAACCAAGTTTTCTCACCTTTGCCATTTGTATTCTGTCCCTCATCCCATTGTGTGTGGGGTGTGAGCAAGCTGCTGTGGTGGTGCTTAGCTGCCTACAGTTAACCCACAACAGCATGGTTAAAAAGGTAAATAATCTGTAGTTCCTTGAAACAAAGGCTCTTGGAAGTAATTAACATTGGTTGATAGAAAATTGAGGCACTGAAACAGCTAGTTCTTTAATACTCCAGTACAAAATTTTGTTAAAGAAGTTTAAGCTATGTTTTCAACTTGTCATCCAATATCAAGACAATTCTAAGTTTATTATCAAGACACTAACCAATTGGAATCTTTTCCTTGATCTTAGGAGCCATCCTGATGTACATAAATTCAGTGTGGAGACAGTCCAGTGGTATCCTCATGACACTGGCATGTTTACATCCAGCTCGTTTGATAAAACCTTGAAAATATGGGATACAAATACTTTAAAAGTAAGAGAATTTCTACAAGTTACAGGCTTGTTTATATACGTATTATTCATTCCGCAAATGCAGTTCTCCCAGAGCTCAACAGGACCAGGTATCCAGAGGCTGAAAACTAGTGAATTTTTAGAACTGTGGATACAGGTCTGTCATCATTGTTATCATTGCAGGGACACAATAGAGAATAAATTTTGACCTCTTTTTGTTAGATGTGAAGCCATATTTGCAGTTACTAAATCTTTTCATAACTCAAAAGATCAGTTTACTTCCCAGGTAGCTCTGTGGGCATCACTTAAAGGGCAGTGAGCGTGTGAAGACTGATTGACCTGTTGTGCCACCAAATGTTGTATTTGAAAACACAGAAAAGTCAGTTTTAAGTTTTTTTTTCAAATACACTTTATTTTAGAATGGGACAACAAAAGCAATTGTTCCTGAAAGTAATTGTACTGATTATTAATGCAAATACAATGTTCCTGTAATTTTAACATTCACAATGTTAAATAATTTTCTGTGGTGGTCTTTTTGTGGATTTTTGTTTCAGTTTTGTTGGTTTGGGTGGTTTGGGTTTTTTTTTGATTCTTTTTTGTTTGTTCTTTTGTTGGGGGTCGGGGTTTTGTTTGATTGGGGTTTTGCTGGGTTTGTTTGGTTGTTTTTTTTTTAGGAATTGAAGATAGTGTGATGTTTGTGAATGACAAGAGACTTCTAAATTTAGATTAAGTGCTTTCCTCCTCTTGCCTTCTGTCTCCATATCATAACATTCCCATTTGCTGGTGGTTGTTTTTTTTCTTGCTAACTTTTTTTTAATAGTTTTAATTTATGCCTCTGAATAGCCAGTTTTCTTGGTCCTTCGAGTCACCTCAGAGCTCCAGCCTAGTTGTTCTAATCTTGGAAACATACTTACTTTGCAATGCTTGTGTGACATGGTTTCTAACCAGGAGAGTTATTGTTAGTATGTAAAAAGTAATACTTGTATTGATCTTACTTGTAGCTGTTACTTGAAAAGCTCTTAACAATGAGAATTTTAATTCTGATAACTTGTGCTGTGATTAAATTAAACTTGCTATAAGTCTGCAGATGCCTTTCACTTTAAAGGAACAGTTTATAGCCATCACATGTCTCCAGTTGCTACAAATCATTGTTTAGTAGCAGGTATGTATGTGTTTTCAAGAAATGCTGTATGTATTTTGGTCTTAAAGTATAAGCAGGTGTAATATTCAGTAGGGTTTTTTCCTCTCCCCTGTCTTTGTTCCTTGATAAAATATTATTGGCTAGTTAGGTGTTTATGAAAGTATCACGTTGGTTCTTCTGAAATAATGCATCAGATAAAAATTCCTAGCTATAATTAGATTACTTTTCATTACATAAGTTAGCATTTGAATGTTATTAGAGCCAAACATAGTAAACAGTGTAAATGAGCTCTGTGCATGTTGCTTGCATGTCCACAGTTGAGCTATGTTTAGAAAAAAAAAGTTGTGTTTGTTTTTTTTTAATGTTTAAGTTTCTTAAGTACTGTCCTGTTTACCCCCAGTTTTTAAGTTGTCTGTTATATAGGAAGTTTACTTGGGCTAAAAATATAAATCCATTAATAGAACCCATTGCTCTGACTAAATGAACTATTATGCAGCTAACATTTTTCTTCTCTTTCTTTCTTGTTAAGATTTTTTTATTGTTTTCTCAAATGCTGGGTTGTTTTATTTTTTTAGATGTCTTTCTTTGTTTTTCTTGTTACAGTTGGTACCAAAAGCCCCAAAGTACAGCTCTGTGACTTGAAGTCTGGATCTTTTTCTCACATTCTTCAGGGTACTTTTAGTCTGAAACATAAATGTTAAACAATAACTACTTTGAGTAAAACAAGTCCTGTAAAGAAACACTGTATACAATGTATTCTTTGTAAGTAACATGACTAATTTATTTATTGCCAGTTGTGAAAGTTACACAGTGGCGAAAGGTTCTTCTGGGTGTTAGTGATAATGAATTGGATAATACAAATACTAATTAATGAACAATTATTACAGATGTTCAGGCGTTTTCATAATCTAATCGATAGTGATAACTGTTTAGTACATGTTTAAGCATAGGCAGTGTTTTTGTGCTCATGGAAATTTGATATGGGTTGCTGTTTCTTTTGGGTTTTTGGTGGGATTTTGATTGACCAAACACACACACACGCAAAAAAAAAAAAAAAAAATAAAAATCAGTCTTTTCAATAAAATATCCTGTGGAGGTGCTTGCATGGCTTTGTTTAGAAGTTTCTGTATAACTGGCGAGTTATTACTCGCTATAGAAGTGTGATATCTAATCCTTTTCATTTACCCAGTTCACTAAGCACAGGGGCTTTATTGTTCTCTAAGCCATTCATTTTTGTACTTAATGTTTTCTAATATGTACTTTTTGGAGTATGGGTATATATACAAATGCTCAAGTGAAGGCAATTACAAAGGAAATCATCATGCTTCAAACCAGCAGAGCAAGAGCCAGATCTGATCCAGAAACTTTAGAGGCGTGTTAGCTCAGACAACAATGTGGAAATGCAGCCTTATTTCTTCACTTGGCCAGCTGCTCAAGTCTAAAAGGTGCTTTCATGGGATGCAGAGCTTAAGTCACCATATCCTTCTGAATTAAATTTGCTTCAAGAGGTATGTCAGTGGTCTGTTTCTAGAACAGAGAGCACCAGAGAGTGCAGACAAAAAAGTTCTTCACTGAAGAATCAGTTTTGTTCCAGCAGAGCTACTTAATTTTGACAGGAGAGTTAGTGCTTTCCAGGAACAAGCTGCTTGTGTCTTTTCTGATATAGTTAACTTGAATGCAGTATTAGGGGAACAAGGAGAAAGAGATTGTCTTCCACTGAACGTAATCATTCTTTACAGAACTTGAACCACTCAATAGTGTCTTGGAAAATAGATATGAACATTTTTTCACATTGACTAACTCTAGCAGCCGAAATAGAAGTAAATGCTTGTCTGTAATTTACTTAATGGATCCAGATAAATGTGTCTGCCCTGGGCCTTCCAATTGTATCTAGTAGTATCTGTGTTACAGATATTTCTTCCATTATCATGGGCATCATGGCTGTTTGATTATTTCAGGTAATGGAAAACCAGCTACTAGAAGATGTGCCAGGAACAAGGTGGTTCACATAGGTTTAAACTGCATTAGCAGAAATATATTTGCTACAACTTCTATTTGCTATAACTTAGGGGTTTTTTTTCAACAATGTATTTCTAGTATTACATGAAGCATGATTTCTACCTTTCCATCTAAGATACCTTACACTCCTATTGCCTCTATTTATGAAATGATATTCATCATTTTAAAAACTTACCAAGTTTCAAAGCATGTGTGTGTATGTACATAATACATATTACTTACCCACTAAGCAGCACTGGGTATGACATTTTATCTTAATGTCTTAATATTTTGGAACTAATTAAGGGAAAAAATATTCCATATTCAGGACAAGAGTATTTGAGCTGGGTGAAGTTTTAAGTCTTAAGTACATAAGGTAAATATACTTTTTTATTAAGCATTCTGAAAGGATTTGAAGAAAAAGAACTGGAAAGTACCTTCTGCATATGAGAACACCAGTGAAAACATAAAACCTAATAAAAGTATTAGAAGTAAATTGCAATTCCACTTGAGCAAAAGGAAATAACCTCTAGCACAAAATAATACGTTTTCACAAAATTCGAATTCACATTACAATTTAGATAATTGTTCTGGATTGGTGGGTTCTATAGAACAAAGTATTTGCTTTTACTTTTAGTTATTTACATAAAATGGTGTGTATAAGCCTTTTCATTTAACTTTTAGGTCACAGGCAAGAAGTACTGGCAGTGGCTTGGTCCCCACGTCATGAATATGTTTTGGCAACAGGAAGGTAAGGATGTTGTTGGACTGTTACATGCACTAAAAACGTCTGATAGTAGAACTTTATATGTTCATTTTCTGTGGTTTTTACAATTCATATGCACTTTTCAAGTTTATTTCCATCATTTACTTTAACTTAGTCACAGTTTTGAAGGTCTTGCCTAGAAAAAACCCTGAGATCCAAATTATTAGAACCATAGAATAGTTAGGGTTGGAAAGGACCTTAAGATCATCCAGTTCCAACCCCCCTGCCATGGGCAGGGACACCTCCCACTAAACCATGTCACCCAAGGCTCTGTCTAGACTGACCTTGAACACTACCAGGGATGGAGCATTCACAACTTCCTTGGGCAACCCATTCGAGTGCCTCACCACCCTTACAGTAAAGAACTTCTTCCTTATATGCAATCTAAACTTCCCCTGTTTAAGATTGTAGGGTTCTGAAACAGTAGTTGGATTTAAATGTATATGAAAATGATAGAATATTATTAAGACACTTACTTTTTACTGTTTATTAGCACTCATATTGCTGATGTGTTTTATAACAAAGTAAAATGTTTAGCTCAAGTATCATTTTGGTTAATCACCAGTAATATCAAAGAGCATAACTTGGGTAGCTTAGCTGATGGGTAATAACCTTCCATGCTGCAGTATTTCTATGAATATAGGTTGTATGTTGATATTCCTGGGCCTTTTATTTTTTTCAGTCTAAAAGATCCTCTTGACTTTCCTAGAAGTTTTGCATAATTTAGCTTTTAATTATGATGTGACATTACTCAGTTTCATGGTTGACATTTCTTTTCTTTTGAATTGCAGAGATGAATGGCCATTTTATAACTTGATAACTTGAGAGTGAAATTTAATTAAGTTGATATCAAAATTGCATACCTTTGCCTTCTGATGTCAAACCTCTTAATTCAGAGGTGAACCAGTACAAGCCCCACGAAGCTCAATAAGGCCAAGTGCAAGGTCCTGTACCTGGGTTAGGGTAATCCCAAGAATAAATACAGGCTGAGCAGAAAATGGATTGAGAGCAGTCCTAAGGAGAAGGACTTGGGGGTGTTAACTGATGAGAAGCTCAGTGTGAGCCAGCAGTATGAGCCTGTAGCCCTTACACTATCCTGGGCTGCATCAAAAGAAGTGTGGTCAGCAGATCAGCAGAGGTGATTCTCCCCCTCTGCTCTGATCTCATGAGATCCAGCTTTGGGGGCCCCAACACAAGAGGACATGGACCTGCTTGAGTGAGTCCAGTGGAAGGTCACAGAGATTGTCAGAACGCTGGAATATTCTACTATGGAAACAGGCTGAGTTAGTTTTGTTCAGTCTGGAGAACAAAACACTCCAGGGAGACCTTACAGCAGCCTTCCAGTACCTAGGCATAGGACATGAGGTAATGGCTTTGAACTGAAATAGCATAGATTCAGATATAGGTATTAGGAGGCAGCTCTTTACTGTGAGGGTGGTAAGGTACTGGCACAGGTTGCCCAGGGGAGCTGTGGCTGCCCCATCCCCGGCAGTGTTCAAGGCCAGGCTGGATGGAGCTTTGAGCAGCCTGGTCTAGTGGAAGGTGTTTCTGCCCGTGGCAGCTGGGTGGAATGAGATGTTCTTTAGGTGTCCCGTCCAGCACAAACCATTCTATGGTTCTGTGATCTCTGTTCATATTCTTAGAATATTTGTTTGCTGTAAAGTAATATGCTATCTGCATACTCAGTTGAAATATCACTTGAAAGTTAATAGAATCAGTCTGTAGTGTACAGAGGAGCACAAAAGAATAAATCACTCATTAGCTTTGTCAAATATAGAACAGAAAAGTAACAGTTTTGCTTTGGTCAGTTGAAATATACTATTTATATTTGTTATATACTGCACCATTTATGGACAATTAAGTTGCTGGGAAGTGTCCAAGTAGTTTCACTAAATACATCTACACTGATGACTTAGTGCATGGGGAATAGTGTTTTCTGTTAATTTACTTCTCATCTATAACTGGGAATCTTCGGGATGCACACAAAATTATACTACTGGAATGTTTAAATCAAACTGCACTTCAAGGGGCTGTGCAAAGTGCACTGCCTGCGGTGTTGCAGTCTGTGTGTACGTAGTCCCAAGAGTTACCGTAACTTTTGTTGCTGGCAAAGACAAAGGGTGAGCAAAGCATGAACATGTGGTGGCCTGGGAAGCAGAATGAGTCACAGAAGCCTGAAACTCTCCTTGTGCCACCCTGGTGGACAAAGCCAGAAAGTTTATACAAAAGGAAGAATCACTGTTTCTATGTCATAGTGTGTGAGAACAGAGCATATAACCTGCATGACAGCAAAGCATATAGACCTATTCAGCCTACATGTCACCAGCCAACTTCTGTACCAGTCATACTATAGACTTGTGATAGCAAGAGCCTTAGTTCCCAGACAATCATTGCGGAGAGTGATGGAGTCTGTAGCTACAGTTTACTCAACAGAAGAATTAGCATGTTTATTTCTAGTCTGTGTGGGTATGTAAGACTATTGTGCTACTGACAAAGAGGCAAGTATATTGTATTGTAAAAACAGGTTCAATTTTAACTTAGGTGCCTGTAGTGTACTAGCTATGTGTATGAATAATTGTAAATGAATGTCTGAATTCTGACAAAAATCTTTTCATTAAACTACTGGCTTGATTGTGACTGCATAATGTGTAGTTCAGAATAGTTGCTGAACCAGGGTGAGTGCAGGTTGGTTGGCTTAAGATAGTTATTGAACTAGAGTGTACACAATTTCCTTAATGTACGCAAATCTGTTTTTCTTAGTGCAGATGGTAGAGTGAAATTATGGGACGTGAGGAGAGCATCTGGATGTCTGAGTACACTTGATCAGCACAATGGAGAAAAGTCCAAAGCATCTTCGGAAGCAGGTAATACAGAATATAATTGGTGGTAATCTGTAGGTACCTAGAAGTAGTCTTATATTTCATAGATGTATTGAGTGCTGAAACTATCAAGGACAGTAGTGATAATCCAGTTATTGTCTATTGTGTGACACCAGCCATTGAATTTTATTCAGTTACTTCTGTTACAGAGGCAGTGTTTGTCACTGGGGATCTTGCTTAGAGAGATGTCTTTGGCAGTGGTATTGTATCATTCTAAATGTTCCCCCCCACACCTAAAATGGGAAAAATTGCCATCTGTTTTATGGACAAAAGAATTTACTCCTGCTGGAGATGAGGCAATTGTTTCATATTTCGCAAGCTGTGTCATGTTAAGGTGGTGTCTTTACCCCAGTGAGAGGCTTATCTCCCTATAAGGGGGAGGATTTCACCCCTTCACCTCTAAGTTTGATGCATTTATTACTATCCCAGGAAGAACAAGACCTTTGAGACTCTTGAGCCTGATTAGCCTATCAGAGCCCTCTGCAAGCACTCCACTGGACAGCACACTATATCAGAAGGTGATTCCTACTCTTCTATTCAGAATACACAGCAACAGATTCACTCATCAAGTTAAAAATTTTCTAAGTTTTTAAGCCAACTTTAAGCCAATTTAAATATCTGAAAACTCAAGACAAAATAGATCTTAACTGAGCACTTCTATTATATAATTTTGACGGTTTTAAGGTTCAAATGCTAACTCAAATAAGCAACATGAAAATAATGTATAAAGCCATTCAAAATAATGCATAAAGCTAAAATTCAGTCATTAAATGTGCACAAATGTGTACATTTCTTAGCCAGTAAGTGTCCCTGTCTGGGGGAGAAGATGGGTTCAGACCATCAGCTGATCCGAATAGTTACGCTGGAGTCTTCCCTAATTTTACATACATACACACACCCCCCCCCCTTAATTTTGCATACTTATGTGATTTAATGTGAATTAGTAACTTTCCACACTATCACCCTACCTCTTTTTTACTGATTGGTCTACCAATGTGCATAAGGATTACATTATTAAATGCCTAACTATGCATGGTCCTAGGAGAGTCTCCTAACCTGGGCAGGGGTCTTTGGAGCTATGGGTATGACTTTTAGTATTAAAATGAGGCTGTAATGAGGGAAGTTTACCAAAAGGGCACCTAATCTTCTATTTCTGGCTCATGAAAAATATTTTGACAATTGTCCTGGTGTTATCAGGATGTAGCAGACTTCAATGATAGTATTTCTTGATTAGAGGTTCATTAGTCTAGTTTTTCTCAGTCTTGTTTTTCTGTCAGCCTACAGAAGAAGCCAAAGCTTCTCCAGCTATCAGTTCTCATTGTGACTCACTATTGTTTTTCAGGTCTCCTGATCCTTTCAGGGTCTTTCACAGTAATACAGGTTTTAATTTCTTAACTAAATACCTATGGAATTGTAACTATATGCCTTATGCCTATGGAGTTTTAACTATGGAGCTTGGGTGGCTCTAGTTGTACATATTTTGGTGCGAAATTCTCTCACTTTACAATCATTGTCAGCTGCTCAGAGATTTATCAGTACATGGTCTCTTCATATCCCTGCACTTTCAGGGACTATAATAGCCTGTCCACAGTGTCTTCACTCTGCTCCACTCTGTTTGGTTTATTGTAGCATGTGCTAAGGGTGCAGGGTTGCCTGAAGAACTGTTGTAGGGTAGATTGTGTGCATGCTAACCACATTCCATCCCAGAAGTAGCAGCTGCATTTTACCCTAAAATTTCTTTAGTATTACAAAAGAGTTTAGTATTACAAAAAAAAGCCTGAAGAAAACCCAACCCTAATTCAAAGGGAAGGTTTTGAACTTAAAATTATAGCTCATTTTTTTGTCAGTTCTGGACAAAAAAGACATAATTTTGTCAGGCCAAAAAAGTACTTGAACCATTGCTGCTCTGAGGTAAAAATACGTAGTATTTGGAATTGAATTGTAAAGTAGGAACTGTTTCATGCCTCTGAACAAAGGGGGTTTTGTAGCATAGATTACAGTGATTAAAGCATACAACTTTGTCTCACTTGTATGTGTAATTTAAATTGTATGTAGAAAAATAAGTGTAAAACTCTAAAGTCAAACTAATTTTCTAAAATGTCAGAGGACATGAAGTAGCAGTAAGTATATGTTTTAATAATCATTTTCTAATCTCTCTGCTGTATAAATTGTAGTGTAATATCAAGGTTTGGTTTTGACAATTTGACATTTTATTGAAATTCAAGAAACTACTGAGGTGAAAATGCTTTAAAGAAATCTATGGATTATGAAAGAAGAAAAAATCTGGGCAGATTGTTTTAAGAAAATTTGAATTCTGTGTAATTCACAGGATAATTAGCGCCATTCCTTTGAGTGTCATGATGTCTTATTTAAACACAACTTTCTTTGCAACTTTATTTCTCTGAGAGCTTCAAGATAATATTTAACTAATGGCAATCACGTAGACTAGGATATTAAATGCATTGAAATGTAGCTTAGCTAAGCTAAATGTGGCTTTTTCTAATAAAGTCTTTGAAAAACAGTTAACACTTCTTACCTAAGAGGCATGTCTGAATTGTGTGCTGCAGTATAATGCAGTGATACCTTGTCCATTTTGCAGGGAGTTCATTTATGGGCATCATAATTAGGTTTGCTTTGGTAGCACTGGGTTGAATTTAGCTACTTGAATATATGAAAGAATGTACAGTATTGCAAGATGAACTAAGTGGAGTTAATTGATAGTACTCTAAAAAATATAGAATAGACCTACAATGATTTTGTAGTCCAGCTGCCTATCCACTTCAGGGGTGACCAAAAGCTAAAGCATCTTATTAAGGGCGTTATCCAAATGCCTCTTAAACACTGACAGACTCGGGACATCAGCCACATCTCTAGGAAGCCTGTTCCAGGGTTTGACCACAGCAGTAAAGAAATGCTTCCTAATGTCCGATCTAAACCTTCCTTGGTGCAGCTTTGAACCATTCCCATGTGTCCTGTCACTGGATCCCAGGCAGAAGAGCCCAGCATCTCCCTTTCCGCTTCCCCTCCTGAGGAAGCTGTAGAGAGCAATGAGGTAACCCCTCAGCCTCCTTGTCTCCAATCTAAACAAGCCGTAAGTCTTCAGCTGCTGCTCACAGTACATGCCCTCCAGCCCTTCCAACAGCTTTGCTGTCGTCTTCTGGAGGCATTCAAGGGCCTTCACATCCTTCTTCAATGGTGGGCCCAGCACAGCACACAGGGCTCCACGGGAGGCTGCACCAACACTGAATACAGTAGGAGAATCGCATCTTTTGACTGGCTGGTCATACTGTGTGATGCACCCAGGGTATGGTTTGCCGTCCTGCCTGCCAGGGCACAATCCTGTTGAGCTTAGCATCAAACCAGCACCCAGAGGTCCCTTTCTGCAAGGCTGATCCCCAGCCACTCCTCTCCCAGTTCATACTTGTGCCCTGTGTTACTCTGTCCTAGGTGCAGAATCTGGCGTTTGGATGTGTTACATTTCATCCCATTCATTGCCCAATGCTGCAATCTACCTAGATTGCTCTGCAAGGCGTCTCCCAGTTTGGTATCATCAGCAAACTCTAATGGTGCATTCAGCCCCAGAATCCAGATCATTGATAAATATATTAAACAGAACTGGCCCTAGAATTGAACCCTGAGGAACACCACTAGTGACTGATCACAAGCCACACTTTTATAAACCAAGAATTGAAAATTATTAATTTACAGATACATTGACATTTAAATAACATTTTCAGTACTATGCATAGAAATAAAAATGTGTATATAAATAGTAATTATTCTGAAGAAATCTGAAGCAGGTTTTTTTTTTTCCTCACAGCAAACAGTGCTCACACTGGGAGGGTTAATGGTTTATGCTATACAAATGATGGACTTCATCTGTTAACCACTGGTACAGATGATCGGATGCGACTCTGGAACAGCTTCACTGGAGAAAATACATTAGTAAGTTATTGAGGATCTTCAGCTGTGTTTTTACTTCCTTTACTTAAGTAAAGCTTTACTTGCCTTTTTTTACTTACTTAGAAGATTTATAATTTTTGCAATTGTCATTCTAACTTTGCATATTCATTTCATAAAGGATATAGCTGCTTAATCTTATCATTAGAAGATTGAACTTTTATTTTTTCAAATTTCTTTTGATATTTCTTTTGTTATTTCTACTTAGTAAAAAAAATAGTATCAAGAAGCTTGGGTCTACTTAAAGATTGAATATGGTAGCTTCTCGTGGTTTAAGCACAGTCAACCATGCAGCTGCTCACTTACTCCCCCCACCCCACCCACCCCCACCTCCCTCCTGCTGCTCACCACCTGCCAACTGATACCCAGCCTGACCTGAGCAGCAATCTAGCCCTTCTGGGTAACTGCCCCCAGTTTATATACTGGGCATGACATGCTGTGGTATGGAATACCTTCTTGGTTAGTTTGGGTCAGGTGTCCTGTCTCTGTTTCCTCCTGGCTTCCCCTCCTCCCTGGCAGAGCATGAGACTCAGAATGTCCTTGGTCAGAGTAAACATCACTGAGCAGCAACTAAAAACATTGGCGTTAGCAGCGCTGTTCCCAGGCAGAAAGTCAAAACCGCAGCACTACACCAGCTACTAAGAAGGAGAAAAAATGACTGCTACTGCTGAACCCAGGATGTAACTTTAAGTTCATTTTGTGAGTGCAGCTGAAAACACTTCAGACAGTAGTGAAAATCTTAATATGTAGTGACTATTGGTAGAAGTGTTTATATTCTTTTTTTAACTGTTAGTTATCAGTGTGCTAGCCACAGGGTAGTTGTCCATACCTGATTGACTCCCTGGCTTTCTTGCAACTTTGTATTCTTGTGGAATCTCTTCTGTGAAGTTGTGTAGCAATCTTAAAAGTATTCATTCCTCTACATCCTCATTGCAACCAGATGTGGAGGGAGGAATATTAATCTTCGCTGCTTTTCCAGCGCTTTCTATTGCTTGCTTTTTGCTAAAGGTTCCTGTTTTAATTTTCTGTTCAGTAAATATATGCTTATTTTGAAAGAACGTACTAGATAACTCAGTTTCTGTGGGATTGTAGCCAGATGTGGTTATGGTCTGTCACTGCTACCAGAAAAGGAAGAAATTTTACTCTACCTTAGTAATATTTTACTTCTGCTGCTGAGTTTCAGAACACAGCAAGAATAATTCTTTATAGACATTTAAATGAAAGAATTTTTCTGTCTCCTTGCTACCCATATTTGCCAGCTTGTTCTCAGGACTTCATATACAGACACCTTTCTGCCTTGAAATCACCATCACAAAAGTAGAAAATGCAGTTTGTTCACTCTCCTGTCACCAGCTGGATCAGTATATTCTAGTTTTCTGTGCCTGTTAGTTTGTTAACTTGTTTCACAGGCTATTTTACAATTTTCTCTTTGGTGTGGAATAGCTTGATATCTTGCCTTGACTTTTCAAGTTTAGAGTTACAGTGTCCAGAGTACTGTTTTTTCACACATGGCCCAGAGGTATTGCTTAAACTAATTTTAAGGCACCAGCAGACAAATGCGTGTGCATGTCATACCATAGTGCCTTTATTTTCCCTGCTAGCGCCAGTCCTTTTGATCTCGGGAGGGGGGTGGGGGGGTGGTTTTTTTTTATATTTTTAGCAATGAGCCAAATTTGGGGCCTAGTGGATCATTTCAGCTAGTAAGAGAAATGAATGTTGTAGTCTTGTGTATCTTGCATACATCCTTTATCACAAAAAGAATAGGAAGTCCTGATTCACTGAGCATAGCAAGAATCAAATAGAAGGAAGCAGTTTTCCTGTTTGAGGTTTAAGCAAGAAGCTTTAAATTGACCCAGAGAGCTTTGCTAAACTGTGTGTGTAATCGGATCTCTGCTTTTTGCTGCAGAAATTAAGAGGACAGTAAGAAATTAATATGAAATTAATAAGAGTATTGTAGGACAATACTTTTTGAAAACAAAATATTTTGTATATAATGGTATGTAGTACTAATTTAATCTAAAACACCGTTATTAGAAGGAATACTACCATTAAATCATAAAATAAGATATGAATTTAAGGTGTTCATAGTGAACTTCATCATGGAAGAAAGTTTTGTGAAAATTCTAATGCTTTGTTTTGCTTAGAGGTAAGCTATGTTGTTCTCATTAATGTGTTTCTGTATTTTCTCATGTATGTGTTCCTGATGTCTGATAGGACCTAATTAGACTGATATATCCAACTGGAATATATCCTAGCATGTCTGGAAACTTTTCGCTTTCAGCCTTTGGTGAGATTATTGTTTGTATTGGAGCTTGAAATGAACAGATGCTAATGAGCTATACAACTTACAGTACTTCTATTTTCAAGGCTTCCCACACACGTCACAGGCTAGGGCTTAGAAATGTAGTATTTGCAATTATCATAGCTTCCTTTATAGGGAGCAGTACTGAATATCTCAGTGGTGATTTGGCTTTGGCTAGAAGATAGGGATTTTTTTTTATTTTTTTTTTGTTCCCCCCCCCACACGCTTAACTAGTCCATAATTCAGCGAGCTGTTCTTTGTTTCTCCTCCATAAATCTTTCTTCTAATCCCTTTGCTTTGCCCTTTACTTATGCCATCCTTCTGCTTGCCCTTCAGTTGTTTTTAGTACTGCCTAGTCATCTTCTACTGTTTCTTAGTAATCCATGAGGAACAGCTGAGAGAGCTGGGGTTCAGTGTGAAGAAGAGAATGCTCTGGGGAGGCCTTAAAGGAGCTTCCAGTACCAGTCTTCTTTGCCCCTCTGCTCTGGTGAGACCCCACCTGGAATACTGCACTCAGCTCTGGAGTCCCCAGTACAGGAAAGATACGGACCTATTAGGGCAGGTCCAGAGGAGGGCCACGAAAATGATCAGAGGGCTAGAGCACCTCTCCTATAAAGAAGCGCTGAGAGAGTTGGGTTTCTTCAGCCTGGAGAAGAGAAGATGCCAGGGAGACCTTGTTGCAGCCTTTCAGTTCTTAAAAGGGGCCTAAAAGAAAGATGGGGGGAGAGTTTTTAGCAGGGCCTGTTGTGACAGGATGAAGGGTGATGGTTTTAAACTAAAAGAGGGGAGATTCAGGCTGGACATGGGGAAGACTTTTTACAGTGAAGGGTGATAAAACACTGGCACAGGTTTCCCAGAGGGGTGGTTGATGTGCCGTCCCTGAAGACATTCAAGGCCAGGCTGAGTGGGGTTCTGGGCAACCTGATATAGCTCAAGATGTCCCTGGAGGTTGCTGGAGGTTGGACTAGGTGACTTTTGAAGATCACTTCCAACCCAAACTGTTCTATGATTTTATGATTTATCTACGGTTGTGCATAGGTAGTTCTTCAAATATCTGAGAAAAAATTATTATGTTGGATCATCTAGGAAAATATCCGAGGCAGTAATTTTGTACCACTTCTAATTTCAGTGGTAGTTTAGGTGCTTGGTGTAGATCTGGCACACAACAGCCTGTGCGAATTCAGTTTCTAAGTGTGAAACTCCTTAGTTTTAGACATAACTTTCTCCTTTTTTTTTTTAAGTATGATATTAAGGAGAGTGAAATTTAATGAACAGAAAAATGATAGACATCTGTAATTGGAAATCTCAAGAGTTGTAATATTGCAAATCTTAAAATTACTTGTATTGGGTATAAAAGAAGGAATTAATTTGACCTTTTAATGTAAAGTCATTTTCTGTAGTTTTAGTTAATAGCTAACTGAATAATCCTTCATTTTACAGGTGAATTATGGGAAAGTCTGCAATGAAAGCAGAAAGGGACTCAAATTCACCATCTCTTGTGGCTGTGATCCGGAGTTTGCCTTTGTACCATATGATAGTACCATTGCTGTTTACACAGTTTTCACAGGAGAACTGATAACTATGCTTAGAGGGCATTACACTGCTGTCAACTGCTGTGTATTTCAGCCTAATTTTCAGGTAAGTAAAGTACAAACTATTTCAGAGAACCTGAAGTATTTATGCAGATTGCCAAACTATTTGCACAGTAAGTGTTAAACTTTCAGGGATATGCTCTAATCAAAGATCTTGACATAAGAGGGAGTTCTGTGTCTTGTGTATCAAGCAAGAAAGGTTGGCTAAGTTATTGGGAGGACCCTTTCCATCTTGGATTCCTTTCAGTATGCATTTTGTCTCATACATAACTTTTCAATATACCTATATGATTTTTTTTGGCTTATACTGTCACTAATGAATGGTATGCATTAAAGCTTTTGCCCGTTTTCTGTAAGACTGAAGAGGAGGCATTTGTCTTTCTCTGAGATACCCAACACTAATCATAGTTAGAAAGAGAAGTACATTTAGCTGAAGTGTACTAGCATTGCTCTCCTGTCCTGAGAATCTCTCAAGTACTTTGCAGAGGTGGTCTTGTTCAAATGCCTTTAGTTATACTAGTCAGTAAATGTATGAGCAGTTTGGATGAAGCGTTGGGAAGATGGTGAGCTTAAATTAAGCTGAGAACATTTCATCTAAGAAACACCATAGCATTGCAAGGACTCAGGTTGCTGACAGCCTTTTTTTCCTTTCCCAGCCCTTTATGTTTTTGGTTTGTTTTTTTTTTCTTCTCCCCTGTGGTGAACCTTTCTTTTGTAATAAAAGACTTAGGGATAACCGCCTAATTTATTATGAGATACATTGCAACAGATTGTTCTTACGGATTGTGGTATGGCAAGAGCAGAGTAGATGTTAGTATGGCTTTTAAGGCTCTTAAATAATTGCCCTCAGGTGTTGAGGATTGTACTTAAGTTCCAGCTCCTCCTTTCTCATCTGAAATACTAAGCAGAAAGGGCATATGGATATCTTTTCATGACCTCTCATACAATATATCATAGAAGTGAATCTGGTAGCCCTTGCTTTCAGTCCAGGAACTTTAACTGAAACAATGTTTCCCTGTCACCAAGATGGACTTCACTGAAAGTTTTGCACGCCTTATGGCTGGACCAATAGAACCCAAGTTAATAAGCCTTGCTAGCCCTGGAAGGCAGCCTGGCATGAATAGGCAGTGAGATACTAGATCCACTGAAAGGTGGAATATTCACATTATAGCTAAGGCATATCTCTTCTGCACTGTTCTTGACTAGTTTAAAAAGCCCTTTGTATTTTTAAGAACAGTTTCCCAACAAAATTGCTAGTGTGTTTATATTGTCATCTTTGGTGTTCTTTTTGATAAGGCTGAAGAGGTGAGGCTCATTGAATCTCACTACAAGTCATGTTTTCTGGCCCTGGAAATGCAAATGTTTTTATAGTGTCTCTATCTTGACTTTTAAGATCTTTAGTAAAGGATCACTCGTGTGCATGCTCACACAAGAACTGCATCAGCCGCTAGGACTATAGGTTTATGTTGACAAACACTTGATTCACATACCTGTTGCGGTTCCTAATTCTCTTTCAGAGTCATGCTTTTTCAAAATTCAGTTCTATATTCTAGAAGCACAAGTAGATTTTCTTTCTTTTCTTTACTCTGCTTTTGGGTGTATTAAACTGTATTAAGTTGTATTAAACTCTGATCGAATAACGTTGCTACAGTCAGTGTGCCAACACCACAGGTAGCGGTAGTGTTATTTTGACTGTGTTCAACACCTGTACTTCTAGTTAGCTCATTCTGTCTTGAGACAATTAAGTACATCCATCAGTCTTCATGTAATTACATGTAATTACTGATTTCCCAGTTAATATTCCTTTTCTGAGAATGCAGCAATTGGTAAAATTTATAGTAACTTGTTTTATTTTACTCTTGCAAGCAATTTTAAATCAGTATGTTTGAAAGTTATTCACAGCTGTGCATCTCTATTTTCAGGTACTAGTTGTAGATAAAATCAGTTTTACTTAACAAAACCTGCTTTGTAGCAAACCATGTTGAATGATCTTGTTTGTACTCTTATATCTTTACTCTGAAGTAACTGAATTATTTAATCACCTGTTCCATTGTCTTGTTTAGAATGAAAGAAAGTTAGTTCATTTGTATCTGTATCATTCCACTTTATTTTTTGCCCCTGAATGGCATATTGATTTACTTCTAACTCTGTAGTGCTTCAAAACATATTAAAACATAATTATCTTGTCTAAGAAAACTTCTGCTTGGTCTACTCTTCCAAGTTTCTCTGATATGTTATTCATCTAGTGGTGGAATACGTAGTAGGTGGTTTCTAGCACTTATTTATTAGCACATTTGATATTAGTACACTATCTTCATAGGAAACAAGGCCTACAACTTTTCTTTATAGTTTCTACCATTTCCATCTAGTATTGAGTCTCTTGTTAAGAGTTTTCTTGTATTGATAGTCTTCTAAACATTTTCGGCTGTCTTTAACCTTGCTGAGTGATATTTTTTTTTTTTTTTGTCCTACCCACCCTCGCGTTTGGTCCTTAGATATTCTTACTACTTTTCTGTGTGCTTAGAACTTCTGATTGCTGCCAGTCCTTTATGTTTTCTGTTCATTAATTGTACTACCTTACTTTTACCTCATACCTGGAATAGGATCTAAAAGGAACTTCATCTTTCCACCAATTATATATTTGAGGTGAGCAACTTCTTCTGTTTGCTCAAAACCATATCATCAAATATGTTCACTGATACATAAGCAACTACCTATTTGCAGTGCAATGACATTAGTTCTTTAGGTCCAAATTAATTAGCAGGTTTGTGTCTGAGGTATTGTGTGGTGCTATCTCCACAGAGTGGTGTGAGGTTTAGTTAATGTCTCTTTTGAGAACATTGGAATAGAGCCATAAAATCCAATATGTTATTGTTGGCCTAAATTGTTCTTACGTAAATATCTCTGTAAAGTTAATAAGATGTTAGTCTGCTTGAGTAATAAGAACTGCAGAATTTGACCCTTTAATAAGAGCCATTAACTTAATAGGAGGTCGGTAATTTCAGGGGTGGTGTGGAAGAGGTAATCTTCATTGTGCAATCTCTTACATGATGTTTACTGTTGGATGTAATATACTAGGTACCATTGTGCCATATTAGCTGATTAAAATAATTTAAATAAACAGACAAGGAATGGCGTAAATCACCATGTGTGAATAACATGTCATAAGATTAGGTATGCATCAGGAAACAATTTTGCTTTAAATTTATAGATACTTCTATTGTTCAAGACATACCAATGACATTTACAAAGTTGTTTGGCAAATCCAGTGGTAGGCTAATAACTAAACATAACTGGTTAAATCAGGTCTCATTTGCAATCTTTCCTTGGAGTCGTAAAGCATAATATTTCCATATATTGTTCCATAAACATGTAGAACAATATATGTGTATGTCTTATACTACATCATGTACATACTGGCACTTCTTTTGACTGACTTTAGGAATGAGTCACCATTTCAGGCTGTAATCATTAATTGTAAGTATTACTCAACGCAGTGGATATTAACTGAAGATCTTGCAATGCCAGGATCAGAAAGTGAGACAGGTGGTAATAAAGACTAAATGGAAGTATGCTGATGTCACTAACATTGCTTATAAGCAGAGAATTTGGTGTGGGAAGAAGTTTTCAAGTTGTAATGATAATCTCTATCCTTTCAAAGACAGGAGGCTTGAGTAGACTATTACTGACATGATGAAGTGGGATTTGATTTGTGTGTTGGTGTAACTTTGACCTGTCTTTAGCAAGATAGGTAGAATATTTCTCTCATAAAATAATAAACACTAATCTTGCATGTGTTTTGTGTACAAACAACTTAATGCATGGGACCAGTTTAATCAAAGTCATCTCTCTTGAAGATTACCACATAAATACGTATTTATAGGAATTAGGCACTAAGTTCCTGCACTGTCAGCGTAATTCATAGAATCGTAGAATGGTTAGGGTTGGAAAAGACCTTAAGACCATCCAGTTCCAACCCTAGTGTGAGGGATGCCTCACACTAGACCACGTTGCTCAAGGCTCTGTCTAACCGGGCCTTGAACACCGCCAGGGATGGAGCATAAACTTCTTTAGGCAACCCGTTCCAGTGCCTCACCACCCTCACAGTAAAGAGCTTCTTCCTTGTATTTCACCTGAACTTCCCTGTTTAAGTTTGAACCCATTACCTCTTGACCTATCACTACAGCCCCTAATGAAGAGTCCTTCTCCAGCATACTTGTAGGCCCTTCAGATACTGGAAGGCTGCTAAGAGGTCCCACACAGCTTCTCTTCTCCAGGCTGAACAGCCCCAGCTTTCTCAGCCTGTCTTCATACAGGAGGTGCTATAGCCCCTGATCATCCTCGTGGCCCTCTCTGGACTTGTTCCCACAGCTCCGTGTCACTTTTGTTGATGGCACCAGAACTGCAGAAGATGGCATGGAGAAAACACAAGGATGGAAAGAGTTGTATGAGACAAAAGGGATAAAATTATGAAAGACAGAATAATTATCCCAATAGGAATGGAGCCCAAGATCTCATGGGAACGGCACTGTAATATTTCTTTACATGTTGGTTTCTCCCCTATTACAGAACAATTATAATGCAGATATCAGTCAAGATTTCAGATATCAAAGTCCTTAGAGTTTTTTATATAATTCATGCAGTTCTAGAATTAAATATGCATAATAAAGCAACTTTCTGCAAAGACAGAACTGAAATAATTTATTGAGCTTACATTGAATCAATGTATTAGTAATGTGCCCATATGCACGGAGTTGTTAGTTTAAGTGTAAAAGCCAACATGCTTAAAGTAGGGCTTTCTTATTATCAGCCTGAATACCAAAAAAATACTTGTATGTTTCACTCGGGGAGTATAAATTCATGGAAATACATGTTGTCAGACATTGCATATAACATGCAGGAGTATGATTCAAGATTGAAGGCATATGAGAATATCTTCATCCACGTTCATTTAAGTAGCACTTTGTAAAATAAAAGCATTATTAGTGCAAAATTTACTGTGAAGTTGGTGAAGTATTTCTCATTAGCAAAATTTCCTTAGTTTGAAGTGGCAGAGAAGTCTGTGTTTCATTAAATAAAGAAGAAAATTAAGCTGTATTTGACTGTTAGCTGTTTGCTGTAGAGACTGTTTGTTTCCATGTGTTTGCAGGGTGCCTTGCACAGTGGGATCTCAGTCCTTAGTTGCTACCATAGTTATTTATATTAAAAATAATAAATTAGTCTTTCTGATTTCTGCCTTCTCAACAGGGTACGGGCTTCAAACTGTCCTTTATTTGTTCTTTTTCTTCCATAGGTGTACTGAAAAAAACTTTACTTAATGTTTCTTTGTTCCATATGTATGTAATCTTAACATGTGTTACTAGATGCTTTTGAGTTGATTCATATTTTTTAATTATAATAAGGAATCTCTTCCCTGCCCCCACTTTTTTTCCCCTTCTCTATTGAACATAAATCATTTCTTAAGCTTCCTTACTTGAAATGTCTTCTCAGGAAACATGAGAGAGCAAAGAATAAAAGTGAATTTAAGCAATAAAGTTCGCTTAAACGTGGGTAGTACTCTTTTAGTGAGCAATCTGGGAATTATGTTGTGGCATATTATTTAAAATACCGTTTATCAAGATTACAGTACAAATTAGAGATTGCATGTTTATCTTTATTTTAAAATAAATCTTTCAGACATCTGTATTCCCAGCATTATATCTATGTCACTGTTCAATAAGTTCATGTAAAAGTAATTTTTGCTTACTTTTTTAAAGGAACTTTATAGTGGTAGCAGAGATTGCAATATCCTTGCATGGATACCAGCTCTTCGAGAGCCAGTTCCTGATGATGCTTCTGAAAAGGTAATGAATTTGTGAGTTTGAACTATATTTTTCACAGGTGTTATACTTGGAGAGGTGGTGTGGAAATTAAATAGAAATTGTGTTTTACCATCAAAATCTGTAATAATTCCTAATTAAGAGAAGAATTGTCCATTATTTCTGCATAATTTTTGGTTGTCGTGGAGTTTCAGGAGGGTGTTTTCTTTCAGAGTCTGTAAAATCTTTAGCAAACTTCTCGCTTTTCAGTTACTTAAAAGTAGTACTTGTCATTTGGTTATCAGTCTTTCAGTGTCTATTTAGCTTCCTTAATATCCACACTGTTTTCTGTAGTTAACGCTATTTAGGAATTGAAGAGGTGCCAAAAACTGTGTTTTAAATTGTTTAAGAACATCCTGTGTATTAAACAGTAAGATTAGGGGTACTACATTTCATACACAAATATTTTGATGCGGAAATTTAATGAAGAAGATTCTAAGCAAGCTTATTTTAGTGTCTGAGGCAAGAAATTCAGGTTGTTACTAGGAAGATAATCTGCAACACTGGTTTCCAAAACAGTACTTTATCTCTCTTAGTATTAGAGCTGGACAATAAACATTTCAGTGAGCAGCTAGAAGAGGAAAAGTTACAGATTTTAAGGAGCTGAAGCCATTCATGGAATTGGAATCTGGCAAACTGTACTAATGTCAGAAAAACCAAGCTATGTGAATGTTTTGGATCATAGAATATAAAAATTCTACTTTACAAGATTTCTGAAATGTTCCATTTTGGAAGGGGGAATAAGGATAAAATTTTTTTAAATGCTTATTTTGCTTTGAAGACAACCTGTTTCAAAACTATCCTACACTTGAGCAAAGAAGAAAAAAAAGTCGCATTCAAAGGTTAGATACCCCAAACCCAAGATGTGTTCAGTTGACCTGAAAAAAAGTATTTTTGTTATAACTGAGAATTTTGATGTGTGAATTTGTTTTTTTTTTTGTGTTGGTATGAAAATAAAAACCAGACAACAGTGAGATTATTTACCCAGCTCTGATTAGAACTGCCCCTTTAAATTTGATATGATGAAGCTATGTAAAATGTGCCATTGTGTTGAAATCTGTTAAGCTACAGCTGCTCTTTGCAAATGTCTAGATGAGCATTGCCTCTGAAGAGAAGCATTTCTGCTGTTCAAGGCCACTAGTTCCTGATCCTTCTTATGTACTATGAAGCCATTTGAGTGCCTATATGACCAGCAATCCAGGATAGAAACAAACAAGAGAAATTCCACGCCATGTCACTGTGATTCAGTGCATTACCTAGCTGCACAAACCCTTTAGCTTTACCCTGGGGTCTGAAGTGTGAATTGGTTATTGATGTGGGTGGAGGTCAGGGCTGCTTCTTGAGACAGTATCCTCAGTTATGCTGGGCCAACAAAATAATGACTTAAAATCAGTGATGCAAAACAAACACAGTAATGTCCATCTGCTGTATTTTGTACCAGACGCTTCTAGTCAGTGCTCCAGATATTCTTTTGTAGAAATTTGAGTTAGAGTATTATTTCTTTTCATCATTCATCCTGTCTCTAATCAGTAGAATGCTAAATAAGTAGTTAAAAAAAAATCCAGTACTCATAAGAGACACAACAGTTTGTCTTCATATAGTAATTTGAGAAATGCCATAAGCATTGCCTCTATTTGATTTTAGTATTTCTAATTAAGCAAACCCCTGAGTGAATTTTTGTTTTCTTTAGTCTCTGCCTCAACAGCATTTAAATCCAGCATATGAAGACGCATGGAGCAGCAGTGATGATGAAGGCTGAATTTCAGTTATGTGGTGATATGCAGTTGACGTTCAGGCACTGCGTTCACAGGCTTCATCTACAGATTTGGATAATGTCTTATAAATTACAACTGGATTTTTGGTACAGTTCTGTTAGGGCAAGTTATTTTGGAAATAAGTTTCCACTGTTCTGTGTTTTTCCTTCACTTTTAAAGGTTTGCTTTTTCATACTTACGGACTTTTATACTTAGCTTTACACATTGGTATTCTTTATTCAGTTTTGAATATCTGATGAAAGAAAAGTCCCTTGGCAACAGTAAATACTGCACTGCTTCTGGGGTCACTAATATATAAGGAAATAATACCTTCATTCCCAAGAGGCATGCTACAGAAGATTTTGCCTGAAATAGGACTAGTTCAGGGATACTTCCATCTTATTTTTATCAGTGTCTAGATGAAACAGACCAGCATTCGTTTTCAATGGATGTTGACTGTGGGAGCCAACAGGATTTTGTGTCTGTTCTTTTGCTTTTTCAATTTAGCCTACGTTACTGCACAAATGCAGTAATTCAGTTCAGAAAGAGGTGTAGCTGAGATCATCTATTCAAGTATTTATGTGGTGATCCTATCAGTTAGTATTTGAATCTGTCCCAGAAAGTTAAGAATAGAAAGTAGTTTAGAGTTTTTGTTGCTTCTGTTAGCAGGTTTTAAGATCAGACTCCATGTATGAATCTCTCACACTTCTCTAGCCAGTATGAAAAATTCATGCACAAACACAGGCTTGAGGTACAGTACAAGGCAGAGAGTGAATCACACTTCAAGGTAGGAATATCAAATGTAGCCCTCCAAAATTCTGAATCTGTGAATTTCCTCCGTTTTGAAAGGAGAAGCTTTGTGAGGTTATTGTCTCATCTCAGTTGCTAGTTTGTGCTTCAGACATAGTGCAGTCACCAAGCAGAGAGTGGAGTTAGAGGTTCCCAGCAGCTGTAGATGCAGCTGTATAGATAAGAACTTCCTTCCAAAGCAGAGCAGATGCTAGGACCACAGATTTGTACACAAGGAAAAAATATTGTAAAAATAAATGAAAGATAATAATTTAATCTTTGTATAGTGTGTATTATTTCTGATTAGTACTCATTTTATTCACTGTGCCTCTGTATTTCAATATGAATGCAAGGTATGTCAATCTACAGTCTAACACTGTAAAAATGATACAAAGCAAGGAGTGGGCATATCGAGAGATGCTGTAATTAAACAAGCTTCGTATGCAGTGCATTTTTGCTAGGAAACGCCCACTATTAAGTGGATAGCTGCAGGGTGGAAGGCTTCCAGAAGTTTTGGCTGGAGTTAACCAGCGTGACACTGTCACTTTACAGGAATAGAGAAAATAATTTTTTATTTATTTTTTTTTCTCCAAATTAGTTTTCATTAGCATGATGGCTGTTCCCTCTAAAACTGGGGAATAAATTTTGAGAAAATACAACACATTGACTTTTGTCTTGATAAGGATGAACCTTTTGCATGTTGTAATTGTGCATATGATTTGTATATGCAAACTGGAAAGCATGTATTTACTATTTGAATTTCTAAAAATGTGCTTAGTAAATTATAGAGCTAGTTATCAAAGATTTTTTTTTTGTTGTCAGTTTTCAGTTATCTGTAATGTCACTATAACTGGTGTTGGTCTCAAACAAAAGCCCACCACATAACCAGATCTGTGCTGGACAAGGAATGATATATAAAATGGGAGAGGTAGAAAAATTCCATTTATTAAAAAAAGGTGGTACAAAAATTAAACCTGCAAATAAGAATGTTGTATTCTCCTGGGTTTGGGTTGTTGTGATTTTTTGTTTGTTTTTTTTTTCTTTGAATGACATTTTCTCAAATTAATTTATTTTCTTGTGCTTTAAGTACCACAATTATGGAGATTACAAAGGACTACTGTAGCTAATCTAGTCCAACCTCCCTGCTTAAAACACAGTCATGTATACAGGTTTCTCAGGTTTGTGTCCAGTCAAGCTGTGAGTATCTCTACAACCTACAAATCTGTTCTGGTATTTGAGCATTATTAGACTAAAAGTTTCCTCTTAGATTTAAATGGAGTTTTCTGTATTTTGGATTGCAACGATTGTGTCTTCCCCATTCCTGGATACCACTTAGAATCTGACTTCCTCTTCCATACTGTCCTTTTCCCTGGATCCATCAGGTATTTCTTCACATTTGTAAGATTCCCCTCTGCCTTTTCTTACCCAGGCAGAACAGTCCCAGTTCTTTCAGCCTCTCCTGGTAGGAAGAATCAGCTCCCTCAACCTGCTGACATCACTTTTCCTAATGTAGCTCAGGTTGCTGTTGGCTGCCTTTGCTGCAAGGGTACATTTCTGCCCCTTTAGTATCAACTAGGAGTGCTGCGTCATTTCCTAGAGCTGCCTTCCAGCAGGTTGGTCCCTGGCCTCTCCTGGTCCATGGCCTTTTTCCTCCCTGGATGCAGGATTTGATATCTGCATGTATTGAACATCATGAGATTCCTGTCTGCATATTTGTCCAGTCTGTTGCTACCTCTGAATGGTAGCAGCACAACCATCTGGTGTAACAAGCACTCCACCCAGTCTTGTATCATATCATGTGTATCAAACTTGTTGAAGACACATCTGGTTTTATCATCAAGGTCATTAATGAAGATATTAAATGTGACTGGATCCAGTATTGCCCCTTGGGGTACACCACTAGTGACTGGACTTTGTGTCACTGGTTGCGAAGCCTCTAGGCCTGACCCTTCACCATTTTTCAGTCTTACTGTCCACTTACCTATTCTTTACTTCGTCATCTGTAAGGGTGTTATGTGAGACTGTCAGGAACCTTTCTAAAACAGAGGTAGATACCATCGACTGTTTTTTACTCATCCACCAAGCTAGATACTGTATTGTAGAAGTCTGTCAGATTGGTAAATCATGATGTTCCCTTCATAAATTTAGGCTGACTGATACAGTCTTTGTCCTTTATGCGTCTGGTAGTGGTTTCCAGGATGATTTGCTCCATCACCTTCTCAGGGATGGAAGTGAGGTTCACTGACCTGTGTTTTATGGATCTTACTTCTTAAAGACATAGGTGAGTTTCACTAGCAAGATCTCCAGTCACACTGCCCAAGTCACAGAATGCAAAGGGAGAATGAAGAACTGCCTGCTGTGGATCAGGTTTGAGATCATCTAAGGAACCTGAAAGTGCACAAGTCCATGGGATCTAAAGAAATGTGTCTGTGGGTCCTGAGAGATCAGGCAGGTGTAGTTGCCAAGCCATTATCCATCATGGTTGAGTATCTGTGGCAGTTCAGTGAAGTTCCTGCTTACTAGAGAAGGGGAAACAGAACCCCTATTTTTAAAAAGGGGGAAAAAAGGAAGACCTGGGAAACTACAGACCAGTCAGTCTCGCCTCGGTGCCCAGCAAGATCATGGAGCAGATCCTCCTGGAAAATATGCTAAGGCACATAGAAAATAAGGGGATGATTGGCGATAGCCCCCATGGCTTCACTAAGGGCAAATTATGCCTGAACAATTTGGTGCCCTTCTATGACGGGGGGGGATAGATTTGGTGGATAAAGGAAAAGTGACTGATGTCATGTACCTGGACTTGTGCAAGGCACTGTCTCACATGACATCCTTGTCCCTAAACAGGAGAGACATAAATTTGATGAATGGACCACCTAGCACATAAGGAATTGGCTGGATGCCCACAAACAGAGAGTTGTGGTCAATGGCTCAGTCTCCAGCTGGAGACCAGTAATGAGTGATGTCCCTCAGGGATCAGTGTTGGGACCAATCTTGTTCAATATCTTTGTCAGTGACATGGACAGTGGGATTAGGTGCGCCCTCAGCAAATTTATTAATGATACCAAACTCTGTGGTGTGTTTGATATGCTGGAGGGAAGGGATGTCATGCAGAAGGACCTGGACAGGCCTGAGAGGTGGCCAGTGCCAACTTCATGAAGTTCAACAAGGCCAAGTACAAGGTCCTGCACCCAGGTTGGGGCAATCCCAGGCACAAATACAAGTTGGGCAGAGAATGAATTGAGAGCAGCCCTGAGGAGAAGTACTTGGAGGTGTTGGTTGACATGAAGCTCAAAATGAGCTAGTAGCATGTGCTTGCAGCTCGGAAAGCCAACAGTATCCTGGGCTTCATCAAGAGAATTGTGACCAGCAGGTCAAGGGAGGTGATTCTTCCCCTCTGTTCTGTTTGTATGAGAACCCAACTGCAGTTCTAGGGCCACCAAGATGAGAGTGACATGGACCTGCTTGAGCAAGTCCAGAGGAGGCCGTGAAGATGCTGAGGGGACTGGAGCACCTCTCCCATGAAGACAGGCTGAGAAAGATGGGCTGGTTCAGCCTGGAGAAGAGAAGGCTCTGGGGCCACCTTAGAGCAGCTTCCAGTGCCTAAAGGTGGCCTACAAGAAATTTAGAGAAGGGCTTTTTATAAGAGCAACTAGTGACAGAACAGAGGGTGATGGCTTTAAACTGAAAGAGGGTAGATTTAAATTAGATGAGGCAATTGTTTTCTATGAGGGTGCTGAGGCCCTGGCACAGGTTGCCCAGAGAAGCTGTGGCTGCCCCATCCCTGGCAGTGTTCAAGGCCAGGTTGGACAGGGCTTGGAGCAACCTGATCTAGTGAAAGGTGTCCCTGCCTGTGACAAGGGGGTTGGAACAACATGATCTTTACAGTCCCTTCCAACCCAAAACATACTATTATTTTTGATTCTATGACCCTGGCTTTCTTTCAGTCCTCAGAAACCTCCCCTGTGTACTGTGACTTTTCCAAGATAACTGAGAATGGGTTTGCAATGACATCATGACCAGTTCATGTAAGCGTTTCTCCATCAAGAGTATGCTTTCCTTGCTCCAGACTTAATAGTGGTCTTGGGAACCTCGGGTTGCTGAAGTTCAGTCTTACCATTAAAGACTGTTGTGAAGAAGCATTGAGTACCTCGGCCTTTTATGTGCCCTTTGCATCCAATTCCGCTCCTCCATTTAGCAGCAAGATCACATTTTTCCTGAAGTCTTTCTTTTGCTGCTTTTATACCTACAGGTATACTGTAGGTTTTAGTTTTGCTTTTCATATTTCTCACCAGATATAACCCCAGGTGGGTTTTGGCTTTCCTAACCCTGTCTATGTGTGCTAAAGTAGTTTCTCTATATTCTTCCATGTTTCCACCTCTTGTATG